AGTATGACAACACCTATAAAGTTACATTTTCTCAAAAGGATGGGGTGCAGTTAGCCGTGATAGATCAGTATGACAACACCTATAAAGTTACATTTGCTTAAAAGGATGGGGTGTAGTTAGCCGTGATAGATCAGTATGACAACAACTATGAAGTTACATTTTCTCAAAAGGATGGGGTGTAGTTAGCTGTGATAGATCAGTATGACAACAACTATAAAGTTACATTTGCTCAAAAGGATGGGGTGGAGTTAGCTGTGATAGATCAGTATGACAACACCTATAAAGTTACATTTGCTCAAAAGGACAAAAAGCTCCAGCTTCTTACTTCTGTTATTGGAACAAACATTGAAAAGATACTGTAATTTCTTTTTTTAATTTCTTTTGTTCACAGGAAGCGGAGGAAATGCATAAGAGAGCCATTGAAATCAAAGAAAGAATTTTAGGAAGTGAGGTGAGTATTTTTGTTGAGAAGGTTTGAAGCTTTCTATTAATGAACTGTTTCCTTTCTACATGCCATCGATCCAGCATGGGTGTTCTCATGTTACGGATCAAGCAATAAAATTGGCGGGAAAAAGATCACGTGACAATATCACATCTTTAATCTTTCTTTACCACTGATATACCATAGGATTATGAGGTCGCGCTATCTCTTGGCCACCTTGCATCGTTATATAACTATGATATGGAACGATATGACAAGGCAGAGGAGCTGTACATTAGATCCATCGCTATTGGTGAGCATAATATCCTATTAAGCCAACACCTGTGGGGGATGTGGAGGGAGGGAAGTTTATCTGTCTTGACGATGGATTTTGTTTTAAACTCAAAATCTTTCGTTACCCAGGTGAAATGTTGGATGGGGAAAGTAAAGCTTTGCCAACGTCTGCATCCAACGTCCACTGATTAAGTTTCAAAGATAGCTACGAAATTGACTAATTGTTGTATTTTGATTCCCTCTTGTAGGAAGAAAACTATTTGGTGATGGGTACAGTGGTCTGGAGTATGACTATCGAGGGTTGATTAACCTGTACGACTCTCTAGGTAAGACAGTAGATTAAAGATACAGTATTACATGTATACACTACTCTTTATGAAACAGATATCATTCAGTAAGAGCAACAAATAACTTTTGGCTTATAAGATGCTTATGATATTGATGATGGTGGTAACGACGACGACGACGACGACGATGATGATGATGATGATGATGATGATGATGAGGATAATAATGATGATGAAGAAGGGAACAGTGATGGTGATGATGTCATCACAACAGTGAAGGACATGATGATGATGATGATGACAGTGATAATGCATGGCGGTGATATAGATATTTTTCGTTGCCCGACTCTTAAATTCTTTCTATATTCAACTATTCTTTCGTTTCCCCCTCACTTCCAGGTGATTTTGAAGACAGTGATAAATACAAGGCCATACTAATAGAATGGAAAGCGATCCGTGAGCGTGTTTCCCAGAATAACGTCATGGATGTCGACACACTTGGGGACCCTAGACCAACTCATCAGTTTATTGAAAGCTTTTTAAGTGAATTAGATTAACAATGGCGTCGTTTTACCCAAATGACATTGAAACACGAACCAAGGAGTCTAGCATATGCGCGAGTCTTCGAGTGATCGAAACGCCTAGGCGGAATAAAAGTGAAGGTGGTCTTGGCCGCTTAAGTGAGAACCTCCCAACCCTCACCCCCACCCCCTAAATGTTCTGCACAAATAGAATGGCCGAGTCAGTGACCACCCATTTTGCATGTTTGTTTTCGATATTCAGGCTTTTCTTCGTTTTGGTTCTTGAAACAAAAAGAAAGGAAAAGAAAACGAGAAAAAGAAAGAAAGGAGAAAGAGAAAGAGACATAAGAGAAAGAGACGTAATACGATACGGTAGCTGGCTGCTATTCTATTCAAATCTTGGGGTTTCTCGGCTTAGCTTAGAATCATACAACTCCATTTCCAATTCAAGATTTCCAATGATTCAACTATTTCCATACAAATATATCATCTGAATACAATCAATTTGTGAATGGTTATTGAGATGTTTATACGTTTTGAACAACTAATTTATATAAATTCRATATTTTAAGAAAAAACTACAAATATTCTTAAGTGTACTTTCAATGATCCCTCAAGATCTGTATGCAAGTAGAATGTAGCTCATAGTATTATATTTAAGGAATATCCCACGCAAGTCAATGTACTGTGATATGAACACGCTGGCAGTTGTAAAGCACGAGATGCACGCTTGGTATTCGGCCAATCAGCGCGCGCGTTATGTTTCAAAGCTTTTATATATGTAAATAAATAAATATATAGAAATATCCAGACTTGCAATTTTGAAGCTATAATAATAAATGAAGAAAAAAAAGCTAAGAGACAGTCTGTTGTATTATAGAGTAACCGATCAAAGTTTTGGGTACGTAAAATTGCACGTCATGTCAAAGAAGATAGGCAATAAGCCTGAAGCGGAATGACGTTTTACCCCCGTCTCTAGACCATAATCCTTTTCACACTGCTTTTGTTAGTCTTTAATTATGACTTATTGTTCCTGTATTCTCTAAGAATTAAAAAAATGTAATATGAAAGAATTTTAAAGCTTATTCTGACATGGAAATGGTTTGGTTGAATACGAAGAACATTGAATCAGTCTCTACACTAAGGTCCATATTCTTGACGAGAGTAAGAAGCRGAAGCGCCTTTTGTTGGCATTGCAGTGCATTGTGGGGCTGAAATACAATGTGTCCCACAATGCACTGCAATGCCAACTCGATCAAGTCTTTTCCGCAACCACGGAATTCGGTAATAACAACTCGTATGAAAAGGTAGGTTCTTAAGGGTAAACTAAACACAAACCCAACAATTATTCAATTTAATTCAATGCCCTACTTTGATTACTTATCTTTTGGCAATGTTTACATTTGTGTCTTGAAAATGGTCGCGTTTTACTTCACAGTGCTCAAGTGTCTATAGAAATTGTCTTGTGGTAGGAATATTTGCTCAGAGTAACGAAAGGAAGTGACATTAAGTCAAACCAAAATCGTCCTGAAGTCTTCTTATTTGATGGGATGTTTGCTCAGTCTATCTTTCCCTTTTCCTGTTTTTATCTTTAATCTTAAACGCCTGGTGAAGCGTTTTGTCTTTGCAGGTGTTAAGTGGCATCCTTGTTTTGTCATTGCGGTTCAAACAGCTTTTCTCGTATTGTAAGATATTTTTCGAAAAGTGAATGACTAATCATGAATCTGCCTTTTGCTAATTCGTCACCTTCCTACTCTTTGATGCACCTACAAGGCAACAAAAGTAATATTACCGGGAATTTAACTTCGAACGAAAGCGCGAGTGTTCCAGGCAGTTTCTGCACAAGCCCTTTAGAAAAATACGAAGCTCTGAGATTCATTGTCTTGGCGTACTACATCGTGGTGATGGTCTTGGCCATACTCGGCAATACTTTGATCATCTATATCGTGTACTCCAACAGGACCATGAGAACCTCTACAAACATCTTTATCGCCAACATGGCCGTCTGTGATCTTGGGATACCGTATGTACTTCTTCCAAAGAGAATAGTGGAGTYGTTCAATGGAAAATTTGCGTGGCTGATACCAGGAGATATTGGACTTATTCTCTGTAAACTGGTACCTTTTGTTCACGATGTTTTCGTCGACTGTTCTACCTACAGTCTTCTTCTCATCACATTTGATCGGTTTTGTGCTGTGTTGTTACCACACAAGCGTCACTTGTTGTCTAACAAGGTTYTCATYATCCTGATCTGCTGCGCATGGATCGCCTCGATCAGCGTAGACGCTGTTTTCTTCAAAGTATTTACCCCAGTTTACAAGGAAGATGGAAAGTTGTATTGCGTTCCTGATTGGTGGAGCAAGTCTRCAGCCGATGCGTTTATTAGAGCTCTCATATGCACCAACATTATTGCTCCCATCATACTTATAACCTCTGCTTACTCTGCCATATTCTATAAACTYAAAAGACAAGTCCAAATTCTTGGGAACTCGATCTCAGACCAGCTTCGACGCCAGGAGTGTCTTCGACAAAAGAAGATCGTCAAGATGACCTTCGCCATCGTCTGTACTTTTGGACTTTGTTGGCTCCCAGTTATTTTTACATCACTCTTGCGTCCGTCTTACAGTTTGTTCGCAAATACAACGCGGTACCCTTGTTGGATTTACGAGTTTGCTAAAGTATCTGAGATCATTCAGATTCTTTCCTCGGTTACCAACCCAGCTGTTTGTTTTATATTTGGCTTAAAATTTCGCGAGGAATTTCTTCGCATATTTCAGGCTTTTCGTATCTGCTGCTGTCGTGGAAATCGAAAGGTTGGTAACAATGTTAGAGGTAACGATGAAGGTGATGCTGGCGAAGGAGAGGTCGAAGTAAGAGAGCCTGTAATTCCAAACTAGAATTTGGTAATTCAAAGGTCATACTCAATTTTCGGAGTCACAAGTTACGAGAAAAATCCTATTACCATTTTCCATACATCGGCTCACTGGTTAAACAGAAAGCATTCAGTCGAGGTTGCAAGGTTCAAATTTGAATAATCCTTTGAAAGTACCTTGGAGCCTCGCTTGAGCGCTTTGTAGTGAACCAATGTGTGGAAAATGGTGAATGGCTTACGTGGGGATTTCATGTCAAAATTCAGAAAAGTAAAAATGATAGTTTTACTTCATACTTCATCAAAATGTTTTGATACGTGCGTCGTTTTGCCTCGGGAAATCTCTTATTCGCCATTCCGAGGTTGAGGATAAAACCGTTAGAGTTGGTATTGCAGTGCATTGTGGGACCTCAACCTCTTCGGAATGGCTAATATACGAGTTACGATAGGCCCTTTGCATCTAACAGTCACGTTCTGATATCGTGGCCCGAGTTCCTTAAATTTGGATGCGCGCACAACCTTGAGCATATTTAAAACGGTCTATTCAGCCAAAGGTCACTTAAGGAAGGCTCTTCTGGATGGCAAACAAACGATAAATTGCTTCTTATCTTGAAATCCAAAATATCTTATTAGAGACCAAAGTATTTTGGAAAACGTCTTTGATATAACATTAGTACTACACAGTAAAATTCATTTGAATAAAGGAAGCCCGATTTTTTTCCCCATCCAGTAACCGGTCATGAACAATCTTGGGATTATTTCCAGCAAAGGGCCTATCTTTTACAATTATTTACGACTTTGAAGCATTATTTTTCTTCTGAGCTCACTGTGATTTTGGGCCGTCAAACGTTGCAACAAAACTCGTCATTGGATCTCACCCAGTGCTTTGCACTGCTGTCAAGCTTACTCTGTTACACCTATCGAGTATTGGGTGTGTATCGTGGGCGAAAATCGAACTAAGTCAAACTTAAAACGACCCTCAAACCAATTCAGGAGCCAGCGACAAAGCCTAGATCTGATCATACATCGGATAAAAAGCTTAGATGTCAACATTGAAATGCTGAAACCAATGAATGAATGTAGAACATTCACAAACGATAAATCAGGTTTTTCATAACCGGAGGTGCGGTTGTGCAACAGGGATAGTCACTAGTAGTCGTTCTGCGCAAAGTAAGTAGAGTGAAGGCATTTAACCCGTGAAATAGAAAATAATAGACAACATGTAATAGTCAAATAGACACAAAAGAAAACAATGGAATTAGGGTCTGCTAATGTGTATTAGTCTAATATCTATTGTACGGGTTAAGTGACTTTGAAAAAAATTTTCATTTCTAGTTTGTAACCATAACGCATCTGCGCAAATGTGTTGGACATGATTTTATCTAAAACCCGATATTCACYTTCGTCCCTTCTAAACCAATCATCTTATTTCCATCAGTTTCAATTTTATTACTCCAAAATATATCAATTCTACACACATTACTTGAAAGTAAATTTAGTTCTAATACTAAAATTGGGCGTATTAGTTAAGACTGTATTGAACCATTTAGAGTGATTTTACTTGGTCCGTGAAACAAAGTGGTTAATTTAGCGACTAACAAACTAAGTAAAATGATGAAAAACTGAATGCAATTAGTGTCTAATATTACTAAGTGACCCTACCTTATATATGTATCGTGCTTACTACTTTTTTCATGGACCAAGTAATTCAATAACTAGTTTACGTTAAACTCTATAAAAGTTCTAGGTTTCTAGTTTCGCTGTTATCAAGGCCACAAAAGTTAAAGTAAACTTTTTGCCCCAAATAATATTTGGTGCATAATATAAGAACGTTAACTAAGCTAATAATGAAGTCCATCAAGCTGTCACTGTATTCTTCCACACCCGAATCTTAAACTTTACTTTTCTTTCACGTTTTGCATCATTTCCAGACTTCATCCCGTTATGTCTTTTGTTTTTCTGTTTCTTTTTTATTGCTGCAATTCTTTTTGAAGCTATCCTTGTACATTCAACATTTATAACTTTGATTTTGAAGATTTTATTTTTCCGATTCAAGTTTTTGGTATAAATTTTGTTTTCAGTCTTTTTCATAGATTGGCTTTGATATTTTTTTACTTCTGTCAAAATTTCGAGAAAAAAAAACAAAAAAACAAAAAGACAACAACAACAACAACCACACAAACAAACCAGAAGCAAAACCCAAATAACCAAGTAAATGGAAAATGACTTTCAAAAACAGAATTATATATCGAGATGTTTGAATCGAAAAAACTAAAAGACTAAAATCAAAATATCTAGAATGTTAATGCTACAAGGAGTATAACAAAAGGAATTACAGATTTGCAATTAAAAAAGTAAACGGAAAAATTAAAGTCAAAACATGAAATCTAAAATGATTGTTTAAAAATAATGAAAGAAAATTGCAAAGTGAAATCCCAAATGTGAAATGAATTATAGCGAAAGTTTGATGAACTTGCATTTATATTCTATTCTAATTAAACTATTACGTGTAGAGCGATTCCATCTACCCATTAAACAAATTAAGGACTCACCTCTCAATGTATAATAGTTGATTGGATGTGTCTATAWTAGTGGACTGGCATCTTTCAATGATGAGATGGAATCACTTCAATGCTAGTGGTTGTAATTGTGTATAATTCAAACTGATTTGGATATAAACTAATCTAGAGTGCATGATGTTATCATAGTGCCAATGCAATAATCACGATAAACTTCATTAAATTTCTTAGCCGTCATTCACTAATTCCATTTAACCCATGAAAGAATTGCAAGATCTCATACTTCTTTAGTGCCTAACGATTCAAGAATATATTGAATGACGTTCTATCTGAAGAATGTCTATCAGACGAATATCTATCAGACGAATACCTATTTCATGGGTTTAATGGAATCAGTCTAGTTAGATATTTTTTACGCAACGGCTAAAACTCGTGCAAAACCTTCCAAACAGGCTGATCTGTTTTTATTTGTAAGCCAATAAAGATCATCTAGCCAGTCTGTAAAGGTACGTACTGTAACTGAAAAGTAATCAGAAAGAAAATATCAATGTTCAAGTAAATGAGTAAAGAATCCTGAGTAATTTTATTGATACCCTAAARCTACATCTGGTCCTTCCAAAGTAAGGACACGGTTAGAAGGGCGGGGTATAACTGCTTTTCTAAATATTGCTCTTACGAAATCCATTATGAGAGCACAGTAAAATAAAATAGATGTCCGAACAACATGGACTTCGTAAGTGGAAAGTTTATTCAGTCTGAGAATTGGAAATGAATTCGATTAATACTTACCATCCTTTTATATCCCTTCGTTAAGCAGAGCAGAGGATCTTCACCTGAAAAAAAAAAAAAAAAAAAAAAAAAAAAAAAAAAAAAAAAAAAAAAGGCAGGCCGAATATTGTTAATATGAAATTTGTTAACATGAATGTTGAGATATTGGAAAAATATTCAAAATTGCGAAATATACTAAGCCTTTTATAGTCCCTGCGATTTGATTCTGAAAGACAAAATTATCGACTTAAAAAGTGCGCAAATATAAAATGTATACATAAAAATAATCAAATGCGACGTATACTAAACCCTTTACGCTCCCTGCGACACGACGTGGTAACCTGAAAAATACAAAAAATCCATGTAAGTATAATAATTCAATAGGCGATATTCACTAACTGATACGATCTTGTCATTGTCCGCCATCTCTGTTTTCGATAAAGCGACGTAAGTGGCCATGGGAATAGAATATTGAGATCAGTGTTCAAGAATATCAAGATTGCAAACATAAAGAAGGCAGAAAATAATCAGCTGACTACGTTGGTGCATACTGCCTATCATAAATTGGTCATTGGAAAACTAAAAGGCCCAATTCTGAGATTATGTTTGGCTTGCACACACACAAACATTAGTCTATTCCAATGCGCATAAAATGTGCGCAACTCCAGCATATGACAAAGGCTTTTCTGAAATGAAAAAATATATAAGTTAGTACACGTGCAATATTGCGCGGCCAGTTACGACTAACAGGATTTGTTGCGAAAACACTTTGCGCAACAAACCAAGAAGGATTAACAGACCTTAAAGTACTTAGTTACAGAATTTAAACTACATTAAACCTGAAAACAAGGCACAAAAGTTAGTAATGTAGTGTGGTGTTAGTAGAAAAGATGTCCGAATTACAGGAATGGACATTCCATAAGACCCCAACAGAAGTAAGCGAACTGTGTCACCAGCTCATTAAGAGTAAGTTAAAAACTCACCATGAAACACTTACTTCCACCGGCGTTGGAATGTCCCTGGAC